ATTTTCAAAGATTCTCTAAGCGCCTTACACACAGCATCCCCCACGATGAGCCTCGCGCCACTTTTTAATCACTTTAAGTGCTTGCTACGATTTGCACTTCTTTATCGTGAATAGCTAAAGAAGAAGAATGGTGCTTCATGCAAAAATAATGTCTGATAGGACTCGGAGATGCTATGCAATTTTGGTAATTGTGTCACATTTCAAATATTATTAGTAGGTATGAGTTTTATTCACTTGAATTGTTTGTCAAAAATTCTAAAAAGTAACTCTCTCAGTTCCAACGCAACGCATCGGTATTTTAGTGGTTACAAAATAAGATTTGATTCCCAGATACACTGAAAATCACTTTTGGAGAAAAAAACTACTTTAGTGGACTCGTAATCCAATTGAGTCATATCGACACTTTTTTAGCTCTTAAATAAACTAAAACAGTGCTCAAGATGTGAAATCAGGTGATTCACATCTGAAGTTAAAAATAGTAGAAAAGCTTCCAATGCACTCTACTTTTCCGACAGACGATAGCAACTATACGAAAAGATATGAATGAAAGTATGCTTTTAAAATAGATAATTTTAATCAATATTCAAAGCTAATCGTGAAAATAGTCGTCGGATCTAGCGTGTCTAGTACTCCCGTGTCTATAGGCGACAGACACAAAATGCAGATAAATATGAATGGTATATTTTCAGAATAGAAAAAGCATTACGTGTGAAAGTTTGATCAAGGCTAATCGTGAAAACGATCGTCGGATCTAGCGTGTCCCGTGGGACGCGGCGACACTGCGCGCGCGCGGCTCCCACGCGATGCGACATGCTTGTCCGGTGTTATCGACCTTGATGGCGCTGTATCGAATTTCACTGACACGCTTAGATTGGAGACATGAGAAACAAAACTGTATTGACCTCGTTAAATAGTTTGTTTCGTCCTGAAATAATTCGAGTGGATACTTCAAACACAGGGACTTTATGTAGTTGTAATACGGGTTATTTTACAATAAAAATATAGGTGGTACTGAAACGTGATGTAGCTCAAGTAGGTATAAAGTGTACATGATGATTTTCCAGAAATTCCTTACTACTGAAATATGTTAAACATAAATGATTGTTGAAAATTGAAAGAGCTTACATTGAACATGATTAAATTAACACGAGAATGCAATAATATAAATAGTATACATCAGATGCGATTGTGGTCAAATAACTGCCTTGTTATGCATAAAAAAATATGTTTGGTAACACCTCCCTTAACTTTTCGTCTTTAACTTAAAAGCTCTATCATTAATTAATTAATCAGTAAAATTAAACTAAATAACAATATTCCGAGAACAACCAAAAATGGCGGATGATTTCGATGATAACCCTGCGATCGCCGGCGGGTCGGAGCGACCCGCGCTAAGTGATTACTTAATCCTCCAGCGCCGTGAACGGTCGCAATCAACGCGATTAACAGGCCCGCGCTAACCGTTCCATTACTTCGACGTTATTGTTTCAATTAGAGACCATTGTGGCCGTCGTTGGACACGCTGGCCGAATGGATCGCTGTGACTCGTTACCGTAACATCTGGGGATATGAGATTCAGATTGGGAGATTAAATGTTGTCTAACTTTATTTTGATAAAAAAATATTTTTATATTTAGACTAAAATTCTAACTTCTTAGGTTTGTCAATGCAAGGCCTTGTTCATGTGGACGTTTTTCGATTGTAGAGTCAAAATCTCTACTACAAATTGATCTTGGTTACCTACTTGTCCCAAAATAATACCTAACTTGGTAATTAAATATCATCCTTAACCGAAATAATTATTATCCTTAAAAAGTATCTTGACATAGTTTCTGGTCAATTTTCTGAAATGATTTCTACTATGTATGCTTTTTGTAGAGCACAGATTTTATGCTTTCACTTACAAAATGTGCTAACCATAATAGAATAACAATAGTACGGTTTGCCAAACAAGTGATTGTAGAAATCGAAAAGATAATGTGTGTTTTCACTGCTCATTTGCCATCGAGATGCACATTGACGCGTCTGATCGGCGCGTGCGCAGGCCGCGTGCCGCCGCGTGCCGGCCACCTGCGCCACTCGAGGGTTGAAATTAATCACACCACGACGCGCTATTACCCTGTTTGGATAGTGGCGATTTTATCTCGTTGTTTGTTTTATTGCAGACATGTTACGATTATTTGATTTCGAAAGATTGTTAGTGATCGACATTTTCAAAAATAAATCGTACGGAATAAAACAATTCTAATTTCTGAACTTTCTTATGTTACCTGTACTTTTTAATTAATTAACAAACATTACACAGGGTATAATTACCCTTAAAGTGAAAATTCCAATATCGGTTTTATGTAGGTAGGATGTTATCGAGTCAAAGATTTTTTCATTCTTCTTTCTTTCTTTCATACAACGAGCTATGCACAGGGTTATATTTTGTCCTATCAAAACCATTATAAATAGATCGGAGTTGTAACTTAGTTTACAATATTAGAAAGTTATGTTCGCAACTGTCTCTTTTGTGTAAATAATCTCGCTACCTTCACTAATAGAGGAACGCTCTACAGCCAAAACAGCCAGCTTGCAATATGAATGGAGGCATAATTCAGACGATCCCCCGGCGATCGGCGCAAGATGTAAGATCTAGCCGGATTGACATTTTGCTCGCCTCTCGGGCCGGCGTGTCAATCTTTATTGGCCGGTCCCGGCGCCGACGTCACGTGTCCCATCATACGCGACCGCCGCACTTGTTGCAATAACAATGAGACTGTCCGTTCCTACGCCGTCGGGCACACTCATGTTATTGGTTTCTGATTAAAGTTCAATCAGTGTTTACGAATGATCTTCGTACTGTGATATAACTGCATGGGTGTATCTAATGTGATATTTCTGAATTTATAATAGGAAAAGCTGAAAAACACGTTTGTTTTTCTGGCACAACATTATCGTCGTGGAATGTTAGCCACAAATCACAATTTCAAAACAGGTAGAGATAGATGCACACGCTAAAATGTCTTTTTAAAAATAACACACATAGGTCTTCTTTAAATACGAACAACGTACAAAATTACTGAATAACAGTTTAATAATTCTAACTAATCGCGCTAACTATGTAGTTACAGGTTCTAGTTGTCCAATGGTAAAGTGTTTATTTTTTCAATTTTCTAGAACTAATCTCTCTCGCCGCACAGGGATAACAATAAAACCAAAATGGTCTGTGATACAGAATTTATCGGCTTGGATGGTACGGTGCTTGATGGATTAAATTGCCCTATCCCTATGACAACGTGGGCCAGAAAAAATACGCTGTGTATTAAAAAGCAGCTGGTCATTTTTCAAGTGATTCCTTTTGTTCTGGCCGAGCAGGTGGACTTTTTGTGAAGGCAGCGGCTGGTTCGCTGAAAATGGTGCGTTTGTTCAGCGCTTACGGCTCCGAGCGCTGTTTGCTCGCCGCCTCTGATGAATTTGAGCAGGATTCCCGTGTTGAATTAGGACACGTACCTTTTATGTTTATTCTTTTGTAAAGTAAATTTTTGTTGATTAAGCTCGTGTATAAATTGGTGGACCTCGTCAAACTTCGCCCAATCAATTTTCTGTGTGAATTATGGCCGATTGATGTCGGTGTTTTTGTGATTCGATTCATCCGTAAATTATACCTTCGTAAGTACTTGATGAAATTAATAAATATCCTTGGACATTTTACACTGCGCCTCTAGTCCTATAAGCAAAGCTTGTACTATAGGTACTAGACGACGGGATAAACATACTTATATACTTTTTTTTTGTAAATACATATATATTATACATAGAAAACACCCAGACCCGTCACAGAAATTAAAATTCATCATTTCAATTTTTGCCCGGCCGGGAATCGAACCCGGGACCTCTCGGCATAGTAGTCCGTTCTGAACCACTACACCAAACGGCCGACAAATTAATTCCATAGGTAATCAAAAGCTCTACTCAATTTAGAGAAGATAGTAAAATTTTAACAAATCACGAGTAGGTATCAATAAAGACCATTTGAACTGTATTTAATTAACGAGCTCGAAATAAGTACCATTTTAACACTTGACAGCAATACATTCTTCAAAGGAGATGAAGTACAAAAACTCCATGAAATGAAAATTTGTGTTTTAAATATTATAACAAGCGTAAGCTGCGTTGTAAAATTCATTTCAGGCGTTGACTAAAAGGAAAATTTGCCATCGGAATGCAAAGCGAAATTTGGGGAATGAATATTAATAATTGAAAGGCGAGTGTGGCCGGTCCCTCCCGGTGCCTAACGGGTGCGTACTTACATTCAATTACGTTTATGTAGCTGTGCTCACAGCGGTTTGATATTTCAGTACTTTTATAAAAGTTAATTTCAATATGATCTTTTAATACTTTTCCAAACCAAAAAGTATGATTATACTTTCGTTCTCAAACAGAAAGTCAATGAACGTGTAAAGTTTTATAGCGTCAGAAAAACAATGCGAAGTACCTAATTATGTAAATGGTCTCTACTAACAATGTGTTCACGGCTAAGATAAAAGAGTTTACAGGGCTTGACGGTTTTAAATCCCCAATTAGTCACTGCTTACTAAATACCATACATTTGAATAGATTAAAAGATCATTGATACTTTCAAAAGAGCATCATCAATTTTCGGATCGCGTGCCAATTCGAAACATTCGTAGTTCAATTTCGTCAGATAACAATTACGTTTACGTTGTATTTACAGCAATAAATATAGCTGATAGCTATCCACGGGACGCTCCGGTTTTAATTGTAATACGCGAATTTGTATTTCGCAACGAGTTTTAATTATCAGGAGTCGCGCGAGCGTGAGTTACGCGACCGCGCGCGATATTTATGGCGGGCGGTCCCCGCGCCATCGCCATTCCAATACACTTTTTAACGTAATGAGCGCTTGCGCTGGGGTGCCGCTATATGTACAAAGCTACAGAAAGCTTTATATGTTTACCAAATAAACAGTAATGTGAGGTAGAGTCATTTCTTTGTCACAGTAGCCTCACAATCTGTAATGCCAGTGCACACGTTTGAAATCAAAAGTCAATAACGTCATTATTGCATAACTTGTTGTTATAGGTCAGTGTATAAACATTAAACGGGTATTGAATTCATAATGTAGGTATTTTCACAATGAATGTCTTCGAAACACATTCAAAGATAATACATATTGTATTCTCTGCTATAATCGGAACTACGACACATAAATTCTAAGATAATATCACACTAAACAAATGTCCCGATACAAGCTTTGAAATATACGTCCCGTAAACGAAAATAGAAGATAATGTCGGCATAAGTTTGTTCCATTCGAAACAATAAGAGCGTCGGTTTCGCCGAGGGCGTCATCTCCCAGAATATGATATAAGGTCGCGGAGTCACCGGTCGCCGCTGCACGCTACGTGATCAGATACTGCGGCGGCTCGCATGGCTCTGGATTGCATTAAACATTCAGGGCGCACACGACTCTCGCACCGACTCACATAAAAATGAGCGCTTATTATGAAATTAACTAGAGCTAACCGCGAAATGTCTGCTAGCTTTTTTTATGTAGGCAGCCGTCAGCCGACGCCGAATTACTGGACGCTAATTGGACTGTGGAAATGTGACGGACGGTGCGGGAAAGCTACATTCTTTTTTTCACCCTAGTACTGACGAAAATAACACCTTACGGGTATTTTTGTGTATGAACGTCCCCGTAAGGAGCGTGATTGGTGAAAAAATCTGTAGGTAGGCTCTACATGAAAATATAATAATATGCATGCAATCTAAGTAGATTGCTTTTAAGATCTGAGAAAATTCTAAGCTGAAATTCGAAAAGGGTTAATAATAGGTAGGTAGTTACCGTAATAGCTTTGTATTATAAACTTACGTAGATTTATAAAAATCTAGTTTACAATAAACTATCCACTATAAAACTTTTTAATTAATAATACCATCTTTCTGATTACGCCTCAAATAAAGCCACATCAAATCAAATTTTACTTTAAACTTTGAAAATAATTAAAGGATTGTGAAGAAAGGTCACGATTTTAATCCTCATCAGTCGTTTTAAGAGAAAAATCATAGTTTTCCTTTTTTGTAAATGTACCAACTCTTTTCAACTCCTGTTAACTGAGCCAGCGCAACGTTATCCTCAAGCAATTCTGCTTTATTTTTTGGAAAGGAGCATCTGATTTCGATATGAAGTTTTAGCTTTACAGTCTTACCTGTACCCTCGCTTCAGTGAGGTCTATTTTCATGGCGATTTCTTCCCTCGTGTAGATGTCTGGGTAGTGCGTCTCCTGGAAGGCTCGCTCCAGCTCCTTCAGCTGAGCTGACGTGAACGTGGTCCGGATTCGTCTTTGTTTTCGTTTCTCCGTCAGCGAGCCTTCGTGGCTGCCGTATACTTTGTAGGGAAGGCCAGCTGTAGAAAAAAGATGATTTTAGCGACAGCTATTGAAAAAGGTTTTAAGATGAAAATTTCCTAGGTTACTAGCTCTAGCTCAGACTAGAGTGAAATACAAAACCAAATAATTAAATGTACTGAAATGAAGGTTACCTCATATTGTCTTAATTTGTTCACTTATGATTATTTAATACGAGGATTTCATAAATCCTTTTCAAGTAGGTCGTATTTATGCCACGCTATATAAAAAATATTATTATAAAAAAATGTGAATCTATCATGATCTTAGATTGTTAAATAAATTACTATTTATAAATTATATGATATGACATAATGCTTTTCAAACATACTCCTTTCTGAAAAAATTATAAACTAATACTAAGGCTGAGTTGCACCACCTAACTTTAACCATAACCATAACGATAACCGATGCTTTTTGTATGGAGTTTCACAGATTTTTGACATTTGTTAAAGTTAAAGTAAGATGGTGCAACCCAGTCTAAGTACTGTCTAACTCAGCCAAGTATATTCAGCTAAAATTGAATTTCATTTTCTTTGTCTGGCTCTGGGTGACACATTATACCCAATTTTTAGACATTAGCTAAAACCAGTCTAGTACATAGAATATGTTTTTACTAAAATAACATGAACAATCTTATTAAACTCAAGTCGAAAACATGAAATAAAGAACTTAATAACCGACGACCAACTAAAAATATTACTTTCAGAGTACAATGTTGAATGAAAACAAAGTTGTGTGCACTGGGTCGGCCATTTTTGTCTCCCCTCGCGAGGAGCAGCCCTCGGCGGAATATACCTACGATACAAGTACATACTTGTTTGGGTACAACGCTTTTCCTGTCGCGGTTAACGGTTCACTTTTCCAGCGATTACAATCGTACATTATAGAAAAAGTTATAATTTAGAATCTAATGATTTATCAAATAGGTGTGATTTCTTAACATCATTAACAACGTTGAAGACCCTTTATGATCTAAGTTATTTATTACGTAAAGTAGTTTAATTTGTATCTCGATTCACTTAATAAAATGAAAGTTCTAACATTGATTATTATCTTATTTTTTTTTTTGTTAAAGTGCTATCGGTTTGCACTTACTATCGGAGCTAGTGGGTTACTCCGAGAGCAAGGCAGTGTTTATCTTTCCGGGCTATTTAGTGTTAATTATTATTTATTGAATTCTTTGAGATGGCTTACTATATAATGGATGAATGTGTGGAAGCTGTTGCTGGTTTCGTATTTTATAATTATTATCTATATTAGATTTGTTTGTAAGTAAATTAGGTTTTTTTCCATGCAATGTGTACGAATACATTAATTTTATACCCCAGACAATTTAGTGATGAGATATTTTTTTTGTGAAAAAATAACACGAATTAAATAACATCAGATTCTTGCATGGGAGTTTTGTAAGTCCATGGTTGGCCTCGTAGAAAGCCTCGTAGTCGTAGCTACGGATGTCGCCCGGCGTGCGCTGTGCGTATCGATCGTAGCGTGTAGCGCTACGCCGTAGCTGCTACGTGAGCGCTCTTTTTATTGCCAGATTACAATAAAATGTGGTTTTATATTTTTATTGGGCAAAGTAAATGTTTGATGTTAATTTTTTTATGCTTCTTATTTATTTCTATAACCCTGATACCTTGATGGTATTTCCAAGTTCGACTTATGTAGGTAATTATGATTGGTTATGAGGAGTCAACATGTTATGATCATCTCATCACATCTTCGTAATCAGGTAATCTTGAAGAGTCTAACGTTGGATAGGAGTTCAAATGATTCTAGGTTACAAACATTTTAAAACATATAATCATATGCATATTCAAATTTTTACTGCGCGAGTAACATCGAATTTAAGGTGCCATCATTCCTCTATCATCATAAACGATTGCTTTAATTTTTGGCTTTCGATTTTAAGATGTTTTTGATTTCGATTTTAAGATGTTGTTAATTTTTGATTTTNGCTATGTCGGTTACTTTGGTTCTCCTACGGATCTCCTCATTTCTGATTCGATCACGCAGGGAAACTCCGAGCATAACCCGCTCCATCGCCCTTTGGGTGACCTTGAGCCTTCTTATGAGGCCCATAGTAAGCGACCACGTTTCGGATCCATATGTCAACACTGGCAACACATTTTATGTCATGGGATCTTAATTTCCCATAACATAAAAACCTATTCTTATTTTTTCGCCAAAAATTATTTGAACGCTCAGTTTGAAAGTTATTCTACCATTCTTAGGCTGAGTTGCACCATCTCACTTTAACTTTAACAAACGTCAAAAAGCTGTCTCAAGCTCTATACAAAAAAACATCGGTTTTCGTTATAGTTAGGTACGGTTAAAGTTAGTTGGTGCAACTCAGCCTTAATTAATTTTGATTTTCGTCATTATGTAGACTGGAAGAGATCGCTTTGTAGCGATAAGACCGCCTAAATTGTGCCTTTTTCTTTCTTACGTGAATTATGTAGTGGTAGAGTGTGCTCTATATCTATTTATGTAATGGGAGTAGTAACTAATATAACTTTTGCTTAGTTGTGAGACTATATGAAGATCAAAGATTGATTGAAATTTTCTGGATTCCTAAACCCCGGGGTTTAGCAAAACCACCACAAAATGGCGGTTCACAACTACCAAGAAACGGGGTCATCTGTCTAGCTGATAAATTCCCCGGATATCTTATATCACTTGAAGTAAACAGGACTGATCTAACTTTAAGTTAGGTCGTAATTTAGCGGAGGAATTGGAATGTTTCGGGACTTTCAAGAAACCTTAAAACAGATGAAGGTTAGATTATAAAACTTAATTAACTGAACTTGTTCTCAAAAATGTAAGACGTATTTTAATCGGAATTATAATGTCTAGGTTTCAGATAATTATGCCATTATAATGTTTAAAATTCCGGGAGCTTTATTTAAAGTAAGTTAGTTTTATAGGTCAGAATAAGAGCTTTTTAAAAGCTGATTGCAATACGACAATCTCTTTTTCTACATAGTTGGTAACTCAAAACTATTTTGGTTTTTAAGCTTCTAATATTGAATGTAAAATAAATAAAAATGCGTAGTTTTTCCAGTGGGTTTAGTTCCATAAAGTTAGGTCAGGTACCTACTTTTGACGAAACAGTCGATTTTCTAACCGACCCTTTTTCTTTGCGGTCCAGTGTTTTATTTCAAACAAAAAAGAACTTTTTCCTAAAGTTTCCGCGGAAGTCTCGATATTACATCAATAACTGTAATATCTAGTGTCGTGTGACACGCCATGCGCGGGCGCAGATCGTTGCGCAAGCTCGCGAAACACAATGGCGGCACTTTCTCCCAATTGAAAGGTCAATAACCATCAATAAAGCGGGAATGGGTTGTAAGCAAGAGAGGAAAATCCAGTAGGGTTTTGTATAAATTGTTTCTTTTTTAAGAAGGACAAAGCAGGTTCGTTCGTTTCTGCCACATGACGTCCACTGCTGGACAAAAGCCACCAAAATTTTTAGAACGACCGGTCTTGCGCTGCCCGCATCCAGGTACTTCCCGCGACCTTCATCAGATCGTCGGTCCACCTACTAGGTGGCCGGTTCACTACGTCTTCCGACCCGTGATCGCCACTCGAGAACCTCATGTGAGATGCAGTCTAAGATGGTACTTACTTACCTACCTATTCTCACATTGAAGAGGCTTGTTTAGGAGGTAAAAATAGCAAATTCTTGCGTGGTTTAGAATTTCGACTGAAGCTCGCTTCCATCTTGCCTGAACATAAATTTCCATGAGGTTAGATGTAGGCTAGTAGTTGTAGACTATATTTTATAAATTACAGATGTACCTACTTATGTTGTAATTAAAATTTGAACGAGTTTAATAACCGGAGGCAACCTCAACTATCTTTGGATACGCAACGAAATTAATCATAAAATAACCTCTTTTTTGAAGTCCGATTAAAACGATTGACATACAAGCAAGCAAATCTTCTGTATTTATCTACACTATGGGATATGATGGCACTAATCGCTTCAACACGATTTGATGCGTGAGAGATTAACTTCAGTAAAAACTCTTGACATTTTGGGATACTTAAACTTGATATTTACAATGGTTCAACCGGTAACTGAATATCAAATTAAACTTCGTAATAATAATATGAAGTTTAATTTGATCCGTTTCCGCTTCAATTACTCTTTTGCCCTCTTTTTTCGCGAGTTAAAATGTAGGTATCTAAAATAAAATATTTTAATATTGAGCTTTGAGAAATACATTACATTTCTAAAGGGTTCTTTGGGAAATTAATAATTATCTGTACAAAAAATCCTAGATACGATAAAATAATAAAAATAATGCTTTTTAAGGGTAGTCTGTTATATTCATACGTTTTCAATTTTCATGTTTAAACTAGAACTTAAAGAAGAACTAGACAAAAAAAACTGTTTTTATGCAGTCAAGTTTATATTACAATCCAAATCGTACGCCACTGGTTAAAGCCAGTAACTAAATATAGCCAATGATCGAATCGTGGACCGACGACATAGTAAATGTAGCAGGAAGGCGCTGGACGCAGGCCGCTACCAACCGGGCAACATGGAAAGCATTGGGGGAGGCCTATGTTCAGCAGTGGACGTCCTATGGCTGAGATGATGGGCTGGGGGGGTAGGGTAAAAAGATTATGAGACATGTAGAGGCTCTTTAAGAGCAAAATATTTGAAGATTTGTTAGTACCATAATAGTCTAAACAAATAAAGAAATTTTGACTTTTGACTTTGATGATGATGAAATAGCAAATACAAACAAAATAATGCTTTAGCTCCTTTCTTAGTCTATCAGCTATTATTTTATTAGCTGCGTAGACAACCCCGTAGACTGCCAAAATAACAGTTCTAAAACAAACGTAACAGCACATTTAGATATTCCAAATGATCCATAAAGTTTTGGAGGACGTAACATTTAGTGAGAAGACAACGGAAAAGGCGTAGAATGTTTTTAACACTTATATCCAATTGGATTTGTAGCAACTTAGCTCTCATTTC